CCTATTTTGTATATACATTGGCGTTTTATTACAAATCTGAGTCTGAGCAAAGCAAAATCCATTAACACCTTTCTGCTAATGAAGAGACAGAGGAGGAAGAGCTTGCTGAGTCCACTCACACACTGCGGGAGCCACACGCCCAGACAACTGCACTGTGTTATGTACCTACCCTGCCTCTCACTTCTGCACAAGCAAAGCCCAAGGCTACCTTGTATGTCTGTAACCCTGGAAAGATCAAAATGCAGAGCTAAAGTGACAAAACAGAAAGCAAAGTTTCTTGAAGTCATCTTCATGGCATCTAGTCCCCACATAGCCAAGAATGGAAGCCACCAGTGGCAGCGGCTGGTGACGCATGGTGTTTGATCACTTCCGCAGGGGGTCAGAGTGTCACGCATTCTCTACTGTTTCTGGGATAGTCCTATTATATGCCTTGATAAACATTAACATTCAAATCCTTACAAAGTTCATCTGATGATAAATTCTAAGGTCAGTTTTTATTTCTACAGAAAAGGCAATCAAAACAATATGAAACACATTGAAAGGTATCACTGAGTGAGCTTCAAGTGGAGCTTGACTCTGCAGAGACTGAGTCCAAAGGGAAAAGGCCATCTTGTTTCTCAGCCATGTTGAAAGGAAGGGGCCAGCAGGCACCCAACAACCACAGACTGATACCAGACACAAAGCCAAGGCCATCCGATTTCAATCCCACAAGGCCCAAACTGTGCCAAGGGAGTGGCCTGGTGGTGTTGCTGCAGAGAGAGAAGTCACAGAGCTCTGTGACACATTCCGGATGGAGATCAGGGATGGATGAGCTTCGAATTTGAAATGGATATTATGGTTTCTGCTCTGCCTGTGCTGACCAGTAGATCTTCAAATATGGCTGCAGAGAAGGTGCCAAGTCCTGGTCTCGGGAGCCCTTTCAGTGAGAAATTCATCATCTCACAAGCAGTGTCCTCAGCTGGGAAGCCCTCCAGAGTCACCAGCCCTGGCACTGAGGGTGTCCCTACATAGGGCAGGTAAGGCTGCAGTTCAATCAGGTGTAAACAGACAGCAAGACTTCCCCACTTACTCCACACTGTTGTGGAAACACGAGCCAGAATTTTGCAGAAGAGCTGGGTGGGCCTCCCTTTGCAGGGCTTTGTTGAGGGGGTGTGTTTGGAATTTTTTGGTTTGTTTTTCTTTTTTTAAAAAGGATAATGTAGACTGGCATCAGGAGAATTTGAACCACCTCCCATGCGAGGTAGTGTGATGTGGGAGAAGAAAACTACAGACCCATTTCTTCTCCACAGAAAAGGTGGAACCTGGGTTGTAGGATGTGGTAAAAGTGAAAGATAAGTCAAATTCAGAGAGTAGGAGTTGCAAGGCACAGAAGAAAGGGGAAACACAATCATCACCATCATCATCATCATCATCACCATTATCATTAACCTTATTAGCTAAATGTAACTTGAAGATTTTGGGTAAATTTGGAGAAGAAAGGAAACATCATGCTTTTGAAGTGGATTGAAGCAGTGATTTTTAAAACAGAAAGAACTAGAATATTTGAATTTTTTACTCCTGTTTTTATAGATTACTAGATCACTTTTGATCAGGAAAACTGTAGGATGGGACTGAGGAGATGGCTCAGTAGAATAAGCATTTCCCTGGCAAGCGCAAGGGCCTGAGTTCAATCCCCATTTCCACCAAAAAAAAAAAAGAAAGAAAGAAAGAAAGAAAAAGAAAAAGAAAAAGAAAAAGAAAATTGTAGGAGGTTAACTGCCACAAGTGAATGCCACATGGTGGCATGTTGTTAGGCTTGTGTCTAATTGTCCCCCTAAAGCCTCATGTAGTCATGGGTTGGACTTCTAGAGTTTCTGATTAACTCATAATCCACTGGGATTATGGGTGTGAGTGCTGCTGGGATAAGGGGTATGAGTGTTACACCCAGCCTGGGGCAGATGGCTTGAATGCAACTTAAGGGAGACAGACTTGCTCTCTGTAGCCATTGCTGCTGTTATTCCTTCCTTTTGCTCTTGCTGTTTTCCATCACCATGAACTGCTGCCCTTTGCCATGTGCCAGGCTGCCTTGGAGCCAGCTGAGTATGGACTGAAACCTCCAGTATTTGTGAGCTAAATAAAGCTTTCCTTCCTTTATTTTGGGTGTGGGGTATTTTGCCCCAGCAACAAGAGAAGAGTGACTAAGACACACGTATCAGTTTTTCACAGAGTTCTGCTTTGCAGGATGTCTGAATGCACTGCTCGGGGATTTGCTCACACTTGCTTGAATCATTTTTGGCAGATTATAGTCCACAGGTTGCTTTTACCCATATTTCCTTGTAAACTCTTCAGCATTCTTACAGAACATTTTACGATCCTTGGAGTATTCTTCAACTAGATCTGCCCAGAGTGGGTGCTCAGGCTGGGGGTCATTCACCAGTGCTATGAATGACTGGATACTTGGTCGGTCTTGGTCGCTGGCTTCCAGTTCTCAGCACTAATTAGCGGCAGGTAAACTTGCCCTTTTTTAAATCAATGTTTGGGTGATAGATCTTTATTTTAAATATGATCTTTGATAGTTTTAATGGATACTCTGCTGGAAAGTTGATTTCAATTCTAAAGCCCTCCTTATCATATGGAAGCTTGTCACGAACAATAGGCCTGGCCAAGTCAATAAATTAGCTTCATTAACCTGGGTGTTACAGAAGTTTTTCATTCCACATTTGTGGATCTCTTCAAGCTCCTCCTGCTGGCCGCATCTTGGATCTGGTGCTCACATTTGGCATCTTAATCACTTGAGGAATACAGTTCAGTAATATTGAGTATATTTACGTCTCAAGCACCAGAACCCTTTTATCTTGAAGATTGAAACTGTAAACCAGTTAAACAGGAACCTATCTTGCCTAGGTCCTTCTAAAAACATTTGAAATAATCCCCAGTCCATGGTAACCACTTCCATTTTCTAAAAATGTGACTGTGTACTGTAAACAGCTTAATAAGGGTAGAATTAAATTTTTCATGATCAAATTTTCAACAGTTGTACACTTGGGACAAAATTCTAGTACAGGAACATTTGGAGGACAAACTATATCCAAACCACAGCAAACGACTGAATGATGTTGCTTAATTAAGTCAGCAGATCTACGTAAGAAGCTTATGCTGGCCTACATCTTTTGGATATTAGAGTGAGTAAGAAAAATATAATTCCTCCTCTTATAGAAATTCCCATTGTCCAGGAAAGAAATCTGTTGAACAAGTCTCCATAAGATTATCTGTCCATCCACACTATTCAGGCTTTACTAGATATTGTGGCAAGTAGATTTTTCCAATAATATCCATGATTAATAGAACAAAGCCCTAATATTTGAAATATTAAATATTTGACAATTTGACATATTGGATTCAATATGTCATATAGGTTAGACATCTCCAAATACTGGGAATAGGATTCTCTGTGATCTTGGAATTTGTTAGTCTGCCTAGGAGGGCTAAAGAATCCTTCACCACAAATCATAAATCTTTCTTTCTTTCTTTCTTTCTTTCTTTCTTTCTTTCTTTCTTTCTTTCTTTCTTTCTTTTCTTTCTTTTTTTTTTTTTCAGAACCTGGGATCGAACTCAGGCCCTTGCACTTGCCAGGGAAACACTTATTCTACTGAGCCATCTCCTTGGCCCCTGATGTAGCTTTTTATTTGTTTGTTTTTGTTTGTTTGTTTGTTTGTTTTGGTGGCACCAGGGAGGAACTGGAACCCAGTCATGCCTCCAGGCACCACCCAGACACATGGACACATATACTTGATGAATCTCCTGTGCAGCTCTCAAGCCAATCAAGTTGATATTGTAGCTTAAGTGTCATAGAGGCCAAATTAGGAATTGAGGCTTGGTGAGAAAATTAAATAATAATGTTCAGTGAGATAGTCATTAAGTTTTCTCCCACAACAATATGTGGAAAGCTTTCCCACTGCCTTTACACAAGAGAGTGATTTGGGATATTGGCACTGTGGTGCAGGAGGAAAACCATGCCAAAGTAGGAGTTGAGAGGGTTGAGCCAAGGACTGGCTTTACCATCACTGGATACATCACAGAGAGCAGCAACGCATTCCACTACCTGGGGGCCTTTGGTAAAACAGAATAAATACCATCCAAGCCAATGTACATACATGACCTATGTTAGTGGTCACTTTTCCAGTTACTTACTGCAGAGCTTCGTATCATGACCTCTAGAGAAAAGTAATGATGGGCAGGTATCAAACTGCAAGGTCACACAGGGAAGCCATACAGAGGAGTGATTAAGGGTAGAGGTTTTGGTATCAACTGAACCTGAGCTCCGGGTAGTGTTTGCTAGTTTATGTGCAATTTTGGGTGTGTTATTTGAAGTTTCTAATTCTAAAACTTCTTGTATACAAAAATATAAGATATACATATTATGGGAAATATGAAGATTAAATAAAATTAGTTTGAACAATGCCTGGCAGAAAGAGCATATTCTAATGTTATTTAATATCCTTCTTTGTGAAACAGAGGAACTAAAGAGATTACAGACAGAGAAATGAAAAAAATCACCTCCTAAGAAACAGAAATGTGAAACAAAGTTTCACTTCATATATAGAGGGACTTTCCAAGGAGCTTAAGTCCTGCCTGTCTTCAACCAGGTCAAACTGAGTGTCCATTACAATGATAAGAACTCTGTCTCTGGTAAATTAGTATGTACATTGTACTCCTTACCCAGGATACAATAATGGTGAATATGTTAGTTAGGGTTAATTACAAGGCCTTAGGTATGATGGAAGAGCAACAATATAGAAAAATTTTTACAAGTAAATCAAATAAATTTCTCTCAGAAGAACTTTTTTCTGCATGTGGTTATTTGTTTAACATATTGATGGAAAAGGCAGAAAATCTTTCAGAATCTTTTTTTTTTTTTTTGAACCAGGGATTGAACTCAGACCCTTACACTTGCCAGGAAAATGCTTATTCTACTGAGCCATCTCCCTGGCCCCTTTCCAAATCTTTTGAAAGCTTCATAATTATTCATGAACAATAAGTATAACCTTTTGGAACACCCTTTTCAGGGAGTTTTTCACTTCCTTATTCCTCAAGGAGTAGATTAGAGAGTTCAGCATGGGCGAGACAATGTTATTTAATATCTGCAGGACAGAGCCAAGAAGGGGGTTGGGAGTGCGCTGCAGATAGATGATGATCACGGGTCCATAGGCACAGAGGATTGCTGTGAGGTGGGCGCTGCAGGTGGAGAAAGCTTTTTGCCTGCCCTCGGCTGAACGGATCCTCAGAATGGCGATGCCGATGTGTGTGTAGGAGACACAAACACTGAATAAGAGCATTAAAGCCAGAAGGCCAACATTAATGGAACCCACTCGCTTGGCCAAGGAGCTGTCATTACAAGCCAGAGGTAAAACAGCAGGAATGTCACAGAAGAAGTGGTCCACCTTGCTGCGGCCGCAGTAGGTTAACTGAAAGGTGAAGGAGGTCAGGGTGGAAGCATGAAGGATTCCCACCAGCCAGGCAACTCCGACCAAGGTCATGCAGACTTCAGGTTTCATGATGATCATATACCTCAGTGGGTGACAGATGGCCACGAAGCGATCATAAGCCATCACAGAATAGATGCAGCCTTCAGTGGAGCCCAGAAGATGATAGAAGAAGAGCTGTGAGGCACATCCCTCATAAGAGATGGCTCGACTCTGGCCAGAGAGGTAAAGTAGCATCTTGGGACAGGTTACAGATGGGAAGAGCATGTCAAAAATAGACAGAAGTCCCAAGAAAAAGTACATGGGGGTGTGAAGGGTAGAGGAGGACACGATTGCAGTGAAGATGAGTAAGTTTCCCAGCAGGGTGAAGAAATAGATGAAGGCAAAGATGACAAAGAGTACAGGCTCCACTCCCTCTGTCTGAGGTATGCCCAGTAGAATGAACTCATCCAGCGATGTGTGGTTTCTCATATTCCTGGGAAGGTGATCTTGGTAGAGACAACATAAAAACCAGCGTGAATGTGGGTCCTGTCACCACGCTTTGTGTAAATGTAAAGATGATGTTTTAATATATTCTTTCCTGTAAAATAATGCCTATAGTTGAATAAGTTAAAAAGATACATAAGTGCATTCACCTCCCAGTTCTAGAAGATGGAGGCCTTAGGTCTCACTTATTTAGAGTTTCCTTGCTGATTGGCTATCTGCAGAGTCTGGAGACAGTGAGAGGCACCAGGTATCAGAGAAGGACTCAAATGCATAAGTCTCTTAAAAAAAACTCCACTCTTCCTTTAATCCATTATTTCATGAATGAATTCTAGTTTTCATAGGAGAGTTGATCATGATCTGATTTCTTCAGGTCATCATGACCTGATCACTATTTCGAGATCTCACATGTTCTAACCCCTTTTACCTCAAGATGAATATCATGTTTCCACATGCCTTTGGTAGGATCTTCAAGCTACCAGTGGTACTTGGGACAAGCAAAGCATATGCATGACTTCAGATGGTGAGATATAGTATTCTTACATGATCGCTAATATAAAACACAACTGAATTTAACATCATTAAATACTGGAGGGACTAAACCAGAAAAGATCTCAATACAAAACAGATAAATGTCCATGGCCCGTTACCTAACACGAATGTATCAACTATCCTAAATATGTATCAAAAGTCAATTTGGATAGCTACATCATCCCTGATTAGAGCAATAGATGTTATTTCTCACCCTTCTTTGTCCCTATCATCCACCAACGAGTCTGCTCTTTGCTAACTGTTTCATTGTAACTGAAGTAGTTACCTGAATATGTCGAAAACTCAAGACTCTCTTTGGGGTCCATTGTGGTTAGCTGTTAATTGTAATGCTTACATTTAAAGGTTCTTTTGAATCATCCAAAGAGTGATGTTTTCAGCTGTAGTTTTATTTTTATTAACTGTCCTTTTTGGAAATGCAAAGCATGTAAAAATTGCTTAATTTTAAATGGACTGAGTTAAAATTGATAATCCCTGATCAATTTTTCTGATTTTCTTTTATAATTAAGAGTTACTTATTGATAATTTTATTTCCTAGGAAATAGGAGGTGGTTAAATAAGTTGAATAGATATATTTAATATATACACATGTTTATATATATGAGATTCTTATGAAACTGAGTCCAAATCCTATTAAACTATTGCAACTCTTAACATATAGCAAAGACCATACTTTGTCTGTGAATTTGTGACATTTATGGTAGTTCCTGTTGAACAGCTGGCAATTCAGTATTTATCAAATGAATGAATGAAAAGTTGGAGATTAATTTATGGATCTACTTTAGCAGTGAGTTCCATGAAGATTCCATTCCTACCTCAGATTATCACTGTCTGTCTCAGTTACTCTTCTCTCATTGCTGGGACAAATACCCAACACCCACAATGAAGGAAGGAAAGGTTTATTTAGTTCACAGTTACTGGAGGTTTCAGTAGCAGCAACAATGGCTACAGAGAGTAAGTCCTTCTCTCTTATGTTGCATTCAGGCTATCTGCCCCAGGCCAGGTGTAGCACTCACACCCATAATCCCAGCACTGGATCATGAATTAAGCACAAAGTCTAGAAGTCCACCCCATGACTGCAAGAGGCTTTGGAGGGATAATTAGATACAAACCATAAGACTGTGTGTATGATTTAGGAAATAGCAACACTTAAAGACACTTATTTGAATCAAACTTTCTTTCTTTCTTTTTTTTTTTGTCTTTAGGCTAATCTCTTTCTGAAATTAAGTGAAGAAAGCAATACTTGTATTAAACCTGCCTTTGATTTCAGATTCCATGCCTAATGAAGGAAAGTCAGAATTCAGTAAAAGATAGAGTAACTGTTCTTTGTTTTTGTAAACCACACTGGGGATTGAAGCCAGGGCCTGATTCCTGAGTAGCAGCCACAGACCACTCTCATATTTTATTTTGAACCATGCTATTCCAACTTATGATTCTCCTGCATCAGCCTCAGAAGGTGCTGGGATTGTATACACGTGCCACCATGCTTAGTGGAAGTCACTATTCTTGATAGAATGCAGACATAGGAATTGGTGAACACTTTCATAATAGTGGGTAACTGATAATTGTCTATTTCTAGGCCAAAAAATAAATACATAAATTATAAGATTAGTGACCTGAAAGAGTAACTGAACTCTGGAAGGTACAAGTGATGCTGTGAAAGGGAAAGAATTTGTTCAATGGGAAGGAGAAACTGGGAGGAGGAAAAGGACAAATGAAAGAAGGGAAAAATATATTTATGTATATGTGCAGAATAATTTGGATAATTGTACTGCTGATTTCTGCTGGTCTTGTGAAAGGATCAATTAATGTTTAAATATTTTTTTAATTTTGTTGTTTTTTCTTTTGAATTTCTTACAACACTTTTTGTTATTTGTTTTGTTTTGTTTTTTTTCCTTAAACCAATCCTGCACATTTACCTCTGGTGACTAGAACAGCTAGTTTGAGGATAGCATCATGCAATACAGCAACCATTGTTGAATTCCTATTACTTTGTTTGGTGAAGTTTTGTATCATTTCTAATGCTATTTTTTTTCTATTACTATTTTGTATTCTTTAAAGAACAATGTCAAAAACAGTTAATAGAAGAGAATGCAACTTCCTAAGTACAGTAGTGGAAAAATAGAAAAGTTATGATTAATGCAAACTGTTATAATGAAAAGAATATGAAATGGAATTAATGTAAAAACACCTGAAACTGGTCAAAAACTATCCATAAACCACAAGTATTAGATTTAGACAGTTCATCTTACTTATTACTATAATGAGAAAATGGAGTTATCAGTGTATTAGTGAAGTTGATTTATTTTATTATTCTCTTATGCATCAAGAATACAGAAGCCTTCTAATTATAAGATTCTTTGAATCTGAGTTCTTTAGGATTTCTTGTTGGAAGGAAGTGAGTATTTTTTACTTATTTTCCACACTACCTTTGTCTGTTTTCTGTGCAGCATTCTCTGAACTTGAGTGTGCAGCATCAGATGTTTTTGTGCTGAGTTGGCAAAAACAGTGCCAGGCTATAGTGTGGCACCTGTGACCTGGATAACTGTCTCTTTCGGGGCCTGGTGGAGGGTTCCGGACAAGTATTTAGATGCAAAGGACCCAGAGGGGAAGCAGAATGACTGCCACATAGTGTAGGTATTTTAATCCATTCTGAGAAAAAGGCTTTTCAAAACATGGTAGAGGAAAATCTGGCATGCAGCAGGTGAATTTAAACTATGAAAATGTAAAAAAAAAAAAAAAAAACTACAAAAAGGTAAGTGACAAATACAAAGAGAAGTGGTTGAACACTAGAAATCGAGATCAAGCAAGTGGGAAAATATCATTAAAAATATAGGATCCCGTGAAATATGTGCATCCACATTTATAGCAGTGCAATTTGTTATAGCTAAATGTTGGGAACAACCCAAATGCCTAACAACAGAGGAACAGATAAAAAAACATGTAGTATATTTACATAATGGAATGCTACTCAGCTATAAAAAAAGATAGATTCTAGGCATTTACAGATAAATGGATGCAACTAGAGACCATACTGGTAAGTTAAATAAATCAGACAAGCATGTGCAAACATCATATTGTCTCACTAGTGTAAGAACTTGAAAGAGTAAAGAAAATCGGAAAGGCACAATAGATGCTGTAAAAGGGAAATAATCTGTTCAATAGGATGGAAAAAGTGAGATGAGGAAAAAGATTAAGGAAAGAAGGGGAAGAGATATATTTTTGTGTATATGCAGGATAGCTTGATTAATTGTCCTGCTGATTTCTGCTGGTCATTTGAAAGGAGCAGTTAATTCCTAAATTTTTTCCTTTCCCTTTTTCGTCTTCAAATTTTACATGTTTATGTCTGGTAGTCTAAACAACTAATATGAAGATAGTATTATGGAACACAATGACCGTTGTTTAGTTCCTATTATTTTGTTTAGGAAATTCTGTATTGTTTCTAACATTTTTTTCTTTTTCTTTTACTATTTTGTATTCTTTTTAAAAATTAAAAAAACCTAAAAATATGTGATCATCTTATAATTGCTTAAAATATCATAGACTTGCACTAAATGCTTGCTGTTACTGAGCCAGATAATATTTTCCTCTTGCAATTGCATTAAAGATTAAATATAATTTACATTCAATCTATAAGCTTGGACAGCATAGAAAATTCTATTGAAACTTGTCTGGAAGAGTGGAAACATTGTGAGAGTCATGATAAGAAAAGATACATTTTTAAGGTATGAAAATATATTTTTAAATCTAGTTTACTTTTCTGTGAAATAGGAATAGTATTTCATTCTTCTAGTGGCTGGTAGATGCAACAATAAAATATTGTATGAAATATCTAATATGTTTTCTGAATTTTGCAGGTGCTTGGCAATAGTTATTTAACCCTTCCAAAAGCAAGTGCAAAATACTCTTAATGGTTCAGCATTATCAAGTATAGCCACAACAAAATAATTTGAAATTTGAGGCAGTGTTTAGAAAATACCATGGTTCCCCTGCAGATCATTGAATTTTGTTGAGATGCAAAAATAAGCTGTGATGAAGAAAACTAGAGACCGTGGTTTAATAGCTACTGTATCCTTTGCAGCCCACATGTGATTACTCTTCCAACTTATGGGAGATATGACAGTAACACTATTTCAGCCTGATATTTTATTTCCCACTATTTAAAATTATTTTTATTCTTATAATTTCAAGTGCTGTTTTATATATATTAGATGTTCAGTCTTACCGTGCCTACATATACCACCAGATAGCTCAGGGTGCGTGTGGAATACAAGTTAACGCAGCTTGCCTAGAAGATGGAACTCAAATTCAGACATTTGTCTTGCAAAGAGGTGACGCAGCACAGTCAACGGAACTTTAACTAGATCTGTAAACCCGCAATTCAAGTCCCCTCCTTTTTTTTTTTTTTTTTTTGGATTTTAGGGAAAGGTCTACAGGGT